GGTGGTGCCGTTAATTTTAAGTTTACCATCAAGAAAAGAAAGAGACTGTCGCAGCAAAAGGAAGTAAAACAATCCAAAATTACCAATCTCTGACGAAGCTCCCTTGCAAGCCTTTCCAACAAGGGTTTTGGAGGAAATTCTGCAACAAGAATACTCCATTAAGTGCAAAGGAGCCACTTGTTCCAAACATTTACTCGAATATACATATGTCAACCTAACTACAGCCTAATGAAACGGGGGAATAAAAGAGTTCAAATTCACTCATGAATACAATATAGAGATCTTATTTGAGGTTTGAACTAAACAGTACCTCTTTGTAAAAGGCTAAACAGATGCCATTGATTGGAGCATACAGATGAAAGACTAGTTCATAAACAAATATCCTTTTTTTATTCTTTTGGCAGGAGGAGGAAGAAAATTTTCCAAGTCTCACCAGCAATATTGGGATCTAAATCAGCATCATCTGCAGAAGCTGCAGCACTTGAAACCCTTGGAAATTGGATTACACCAGCCACTTTTGACAGATCATGTTTATTGATATTAGGCAGAGAGAAACGCCTAACAACCTTTATGGTTTCCCCAATAATATAAATCTTAAAGAGAAGACCACCTGCAATGTCAAACATCCCTCAGTATATTACCACGTAAATTAAATTAACCATATAAAACATTCAGACTTGTGTATCAGTTTACAAACCATGATTGACAAACTCTTGCAAAATCAATGGAGGTTCAAGCGTTGAAAGAGAGAACTCATCATAAGCAAGAAATAGTTCGTGTGACTTTGCACTGCCATCCACAACTAAAGGCTTTACAACTGAAAATAGCAAATGAAGAAGTGAATATTTTAAAAACTATATCTATGGAAGAGATGACAGTAAATCTGAAAATACTCAAACAGGATAATCAGAACAAGAAATTCTGCAAACCAACTAGCTACATATATTCTTTGATTCATTAGACAACATCTAAGAAAAGGATTAGCTGACAAAGCAAAATCAAGTCCCATAGAAGCTCATTCAAATGCATAAATTTATTCTCATGCAACATTCAAGATCAAGTAGTGGAGATATTGGCTGAATTCACACCATATCCAAGGTCAAAGCAATTGCCATCCTCCATTACTAGAACTAAGGTAAGGATCCAAAAAGGGGAAGAAACAAAAGATATATATACCTAGTGGCAACTTCATTCCAGCTTTAGCAACTTCGTAAGGAATGGACGACTGGTCTTTTGTGATGACCAAGTGTCGCGGAATGCCGACTTTGCCTATAGATATGCAGTTTATTAAAATACAAAGATTGGTCGGTACTGAGAAAGTCCAGTTTAACAAAGAAAGAATATGGATTCAACTTACAACACAAAAGGCAATAAACTTATTCTTACACGTCAGCTATATGCTAACCCCAGACAAAATTCTATTAAAATTCTCGTAGTTTTTACTTTTCATAAACAATTCATGTAAATAATCCGATAAAAGTTATAATTTGGTTCCTTAATGCAATAAGTTACCATTGCAGTCAGATAAGTTTAAATCTGCCACAACTTGCTGCATGGACTGGCGATTTTGCAAGTGTTGAATTGCATCTGGAGGATCAACAATGATAACTTCAGGGTGTTTTTGCCTGTAGTCCTTCAAAAAAAAATGATGAAAGAGTAAAATTAGCCATCCATTTACAACAAAGGCTTCAAAGACTATCATCTAACAATCATTAATTGGTCTGCTTTTGGTAAGCTGGTCAACAATGTGCCAAAAAGATGGTCTGATACCTAGGCCAACTAGAACATCAAGCAGACTTCCTTCAGATTACAGAAGCACGAAGGCAAACTTTCATTGACAGTTTAAAGATGAGATTTCTCCATATCATTTACAGACAATTTATGAATACATAAACCACAAAGACTTCTTCATTCCGTAGTTTCCATCTCTATGTTCTAATTCATGTCTCCAGAATTCTGGAATCTCATCCAACCCTGTTCTTTATCTCCACAGAAGGTAGATTGCCTATGCAAGACAAACTTTCAAGAAAAGAACAATCCATTGAGATCGATGAAAATGGCAAAAGTTATTCTTACCAACCAAGAATATGAACCTCGACATTGCACCATATCCAGAGGGGAAACACACACACACAATGATAAAGAAGCATTTTAACTGAATCACACGCAAGAGAATGTGTAAAGGGCTGACCAATCAATCAGAATTTTCATTCCATAGAGACATCTAACCAACTGTCACTTTCCCTAACTCTATTCCAACCAAAGAAGCACCTTTCTTCCCTCATTTCAGGATGAGAAAGAGAACCTGATTAATCTTCAGAAGTGAACCCAAGGGAACCATCGAGTAATTGAAGAAAACCTTTGCACTGTTAAAAAGAGAGAGCATTGTATACTATCACAAGATTGCATTTTTCTTTCCTAGATAACAGCTAAGCAAGGTGAGCTATTGCTGCCAAAAGAATTGGCCATATGCCTCTTTCAAAATATCACTGGACATTAGTTTTGCTATATTTTACCCCCTGTTTGTAGTTGTTTCGCTAACAATTTTTAGATATAGGATCCAAGGAATGTCTTTTTCTCTCCTTTGTCTTCTGAAACATGGATGCGTAGAGACGCCCTTGAATGTCTCAACAACTGCCTCATTTTGAAATTTATATATTCTCATTTTGAAATGTGTATATTCTCTTATGAGTTGTGTAATGCTTCCAGAAATATGCAGGCAGCATAAGACTCATTCTGAATACTCTCCAGCCAAAAATGATCATGTGGATCCTTGTGAGAGGGCTGCTCAAATGACCAACAGGGAACGTTTTCTCCTATCACTGGTAATTTGTTAGATTTAACGGTATTTCTTAAGAGCAGAAAAGCTAGTTTGGGTTATTAGTTATGGCACTTTCTGAAAGAACCGAAAACCGTCCAGTTCTTGAACCACAAGTTCCTAGCTTCATTTAACAATATTTTCATGTGATTGGAAAATTAAAATTACCAGATCAAACAAGAGTTGGCATTAACCTTGATATTTTAAGCATTAAAACATATAGCACATTTGCTAAAATCCATAATTTGACGATAAAATGAATATCCTTAAATTCCTTTTGTACTTGATAGAGGTTAAAAGCACTTTGGAAAGGCACTATTCGATCATTTTATATTAAATAAGATATTAAGCTTTGGCAAGAAATATGCTGATTCTAATCATAACAAAAAAATTGTGAAGAAAATTATAAATTTTGGGGAAAAATAAATGGAAGAAAGGGTATTATAGTAATATTTATTTCTAATAACAAAATATTTTATGATACCTTCTTTGAACAGCATTTTCAACCACAAAAAGATGCAGCAAAGACCAAGAAAACGGCAAATTAATTTCTTCTTCCAGCAACTAAGTTCACCAATGGCTTATCAATATTTAGATTGACCATGAAATGTAAATTCTCACTTGCTTAAATTATTAAGGGACTGATTTCTGCTATCTGATTATCATGCCTGATGAGGAGAGCAAGAACTCTGCAAATTATAACAGATAAAAACAATTTTTTTTTTTTTTTGGATTCAGAGGATTTAGCCCTCAGATCAATGTCATTTTACGCTTCATTCCCAGCTTTAGCAGATGCCAATGATTTCAAACAATCACATGCAAGATCACAACAGTACAGGATTACCAGTACAATTTGAAAGTTGAGAGAAGTATTTTGGTGTTCACAAACCTCAATAGCTTCACGCCACTCCTTCCCTGACAGCTGAAAAGAACACACAGCCTGTCAGACTATATAGAGAATACAGAAACAGAGATATTTGATTTTATAATATGGAACAGACTATCATGAGCAAGAAAAGGCAGAAAAACTTATAATCCAGCTAGTAAACAAAAGGGCCCAGGATAAAGACATTTACAAATTACAAGGTAGTACTGGTATAATCATGAAGGAAGCCACACCTTATGCAAAACAATGTCAAAGGGACCTTGTTCGGACAATGGTTTGTTTAGATCAATGGAAACAAAAGATATACCCTTACTCCTGCATCATGGATCACAAAAATTTTCAGGATCAATATTTATAGGTCTCAAGAGAGCACAAAGTATTGACACTTCAAGACAATTCATCAACGGATTTTTGTTTTAAGCAAATATGTTCCAGAGTAAACTGGTACGCGAAAATTAAAAGTCAAAAGACTCAATTATTTAATTAATGAAATGAAACCATTTCCTGTAATTAATAATCATAATCCCGAATTAGCGGCAAGGTTTTCTTGAACAGAGCACAAAAATGTGCATTAGAATGCCGAAAATCAACATATCTGACAAGCGAGGATGGTTTTTAATAAGAATAATTTGATCTAAGAACAAAGAACAAAGTATCAAAATTTGACTTTGAATTCTCGTCGTGGACTAATCCAAAGGGCATATATGGTGGAATATTCTCATTTAAATTAGAACACAGAAAAGACCGAGATGTCAGATACCAAGAAGCGAATCAATGTGGGTTTCGGCTCGCGAAAGTGATAGCCAAGGTACAAAATAACTCCACCACCATCGACAAAGACACTACCTGTGTCCCCCCACCTCTGCAAAAGCCGCTTTAGCGCAGGAAACAATCAAAACTAAAAGAAAACACAAAATCCTTTGGCAATCCATTTCTGGAAGTTACAAAGAAAACTTAAATATTACATTAATATCCAAGCACCAACAGCATACTTTTCCTTGTATGATGAAAAAGGTGTAATGAACAGGGAAAATACCAGGCAAGAGTAATAAAATTCGGCTTTAAAAAGCTCTTCTTCTTCTTGGACGTCAAGGCATACCCAACCACTAGTTTCTGTTGCTGTGGAGACCCGCCCATTGAATTCACTTCTTTCTCTTCAGCCTCCTCCTCTACTTCAGTGTGGATTTCTCCTTCAAACCTCATGTTCGCACTTCCCAAGAACCCTAGAGAAAGAACAAATCCTTTCGTCTGCAACGTTTACGTTTTCAATATTCTTGTACCCTGCCTTACCAGCGATAAAACTCCACAAAACAATCAACCAATACGGAAACGAGGAATAGCGCGAATCACACAAGAAATGGGATCCCTCGTACGGATATTCTTATCGAATTTGAACCAGAGGGCATCTTTATAACTTTTTGAGCACTATGTATTCCTCTGCAAGAGGATTTAAAAGTTAAAATTAAAGACCAGATGAGGAATATTGAGGTGCCTGTCCAGAGAGAATCTGGCTCCACCGGTTCGTGAATAAGGGGGAACATGTAAGTGAGAGCGAGGGGGAAGAGAGAGAGAGAGAGAGTGGATGGATTATTGGGAGGAATATTCAGTTTGCAGAGAAGATAGTGAATATAAATGGTGAAGGGAAGGGATGAGAGTCATGAGACTGGGGGAAGCCGCGCTGGCTTACTCCTCTGCTATATCTTCTTTTACCATTTTACCCTTTTGTTTTGTGGGGCTTAATAAAAAGACATGTGGATGCATAGCCTAGTAGAATAAACTCTCATAACAAAATCAATTCTATCTATAACTTTAAACCGTTGGCATCTTTCTTTCTAATTAAAAAAATGAATATAGATGGTGACATTAATAATTTTATAATTAAATATTAAAATGTAGTAAGAATTATAATAAGACCTTATGAAAAGAAAATAATTATCAAAAAAATTCTCACACTGAAACTTATCATTACTAACTACTCTGTTATCATTGAGACTTTTCAATAATTATATTTTTTTTAGATTCTACGGAGATTCTCTCTAAAATATATTATTATTGTTGGTACTTGGTATTTATTATATAAAATTATATTTTTATTTTTATTTAGCACAAAATATTTGATAAAAAATTAAAATGTTATTTTACTGGAAAATAAATAAATTACTTTTGAGAAAGCATGAATGGTAAATTTAAAAATATCCATGGTAATTATTTTTTAGCACAATTTTTTATGACTAAGTGACCATAATGTAAGGACTCATTCAATACATGAAAATGAATAAAAACATATTGAGGAAAAATTGATTTTGAGAATAAAAATAATATTCATTCATATTTTTAAAAAATAATAAAAATATCAAGTATTAATAATAAAAATAAATATTTAATAAAACAAGAAGGAAAAAAATTACTAAGTAATGATTATAAAAACAAAATAAAAAAATGATGAGTTGCAGTCATGTTTGAGCCCCGTTGAGGGCAAGGGTGTCATTCTGTAGGATTTCAAATAATGCTATTGTCAATTCCAAGAAGATACAGTAAATTATATGCCACGTATTTCACCGTTTGAAAGCAACGTTTAGGTGCTGGCCAAATTAAAGAAAGAAAACCGTGGGTGACTCCCAAAAAAAAATTAAAAAAAAAAAAGAAAAGAAAAAAAAGCTTATGAAATTTCCTGTTAACCGAGTTTGAAAGCAATTTATACAATTATTTATGGATTAGGATATGGGTTTAAATTATAATCAAGCTTCCTCCAGGTTAGATTTATCTGGAGGTTGGAAAAAAGAGTGGGGAATATTTGGAATGTATGCTCAGAATATGCTTAGCTTGGAGTTAGGCCAAGTAAATGCGTGATTTTGGGGATCAAACTTCCAGTCTTTATGACTTGCCACTTCTTTCTTTATGCTGAAATTAATTTCAAGATGTTGAAATGTTTCTTTAAGGGTTTAACACACTCGCATTGATCATAAATCCGTTATATTAAGAACCAAGGATTAAATATGGTGTTAATGAACCCGTTAATCAATTGCCATTGAATCATATAGAATATACTCCTCAAATTTGAATTGCCTTGATTCTTTTTATAAGATCCTGCTTGTGGTTGTTTGAATGTACAATGTGTTTTTATTTTTGTTCCTAATTAATTTTATATATTGTATTAATTAAAAGATTTACCATATTTTTTTTCATACTTTTTTTCCTCTTACTTACCTCTTATAAATATCAGCGTGCTTGAAAAAAAAATTCATTTTTTATTACTTTTAACTAATTTTAACTATTTTGTTAAACAATATGATTTAGTTATTTGGCTCTTATAAAAAGAACCGGAGAGAGTACTGCTCAAATTTTTTCTAAGGAAGGCGACAACTAACAACTCAGTGCCTTGTTTAGAATGGTGATTAGAGCCTTTAAAAAGTAATTTTTCAATCATGATTTATGGAATACAAGATAAGTATGGGAGAAGAGTTTTGTCTTGACTTAAGTGAAAAAACTTACATTAAGCAACTCGAGATAAGTACTAAATCTTGTTAATGAAAATAATTACTCCTTTCAATCCTAATATAAGAAATAGTTGGAATATATGTTTGGTTTTCTCTTAATTATATAATGTCAATTTATTTTGTTTTTTGTATTTATTATTTTTATCACATTAATTTATTTAAATTATAAAGTATTAATATAATTTTTATTTTCTTAATTTTGCAGGAATTTTACTTTTAATCTATTGAGTTTCAAATTACATGTTTTGCTTCATCAAGGGGGCTAAATAATTCAAATTTTTATTAATGTATAGGGACTGATGTTTTAAATAGAAAGAAACTCAAGAAATCAAAACCAAAATAAAGACAAATATAAAAACCAAAATTGTATCAGTTACAAAAATAATCTAATGTCTTTGGCAAAGAAAATGTAATCTAATTCTACATAATAATGTTTTTTTAAAGATTAGGTCAATTTCATTATAATTAACCAATTTATCTAATTTTATTAATCTACTTAAATTAGCTAAATAATAACCCTTATATTAAAGAACCGGAAGGAGAATACATTGTGAAAGCATTTACCCTAACAATATTTAGATATGATGTCATAATACCTGACAAATACACAATTAAAACAACATTAACATTGTTATCAATGATGGTTGGGTGGAGTGATAAAAGGAACGCACTTCTTCTTAATTAAAGTTGACGACTTGAATGTTGAAACTCACCTGTTTTGAATTAACCAATATGATTAGGATTTAGAGTAATTAGATAAAAACATTAATATTAACCGTGGCAAAACAATTTTTAAAAAAAATTCTTTTATGAACATAAAAATATATAGCAATAAATGACATAAACCCTGGTTGAAATTACTATATATTCACGCTAATACAAAGTGATGTAACTGAATCTGTTACGAAGTTGCAAGCGGGGTTACGTCAAATTGGTCAACTCTTCTGAAGGGTCAAAGTTTGTTCCTTGGAATTGAAGTTGATGCATGAGAATAAATGATCTTTCCAAGCAAGATTGCGGTATGTACATGGCAAATCTTACAAATCAATATTATTGAGATAATCCCTTCTGCACATTTTGTCTAGAGTTGGTAGGAGGAGTAGGACACATTTGACCCAGCACTAACACCAATCATCATTGCATTTATAAAAAAAAAACAAAATAAAAACAAAATAAAAAGTTTTTTAAAAAAATTTATAGTTAGTAAATATATGTGAACATAAAAGTTTTAATAAGTTAGATTTTAAAGGTTCGTTAGAGTTAGAGTACGCTTTCAAATTTAGAGAACGTCTTCAGATATACTTACAAATTTCTTTTCTAACAAGATTATCATATTATCTGTGAACTTGAACTTATAATATTGTAGGTTATGAATTAACTCTTTATCAACTAGATGAAATGTTGTTACTCTAATGGACGTGATTATATGCCTTGATTTTGCATTATGTAATACTATTTTTTGTTCTTAATATAAGAGTTATAATTACATATTTAATTTAATCATAAATATAAGACTTCAATTGATTATATCTCTCATATTTATCTATCTTATTTCTAAATAATCCTTATGATGATTGCAAGAATTGTTTCAATACATATGGTTAATAAAGATATTTTAAGAAAGATAATATATTTTTTATTAGAAAATAATTAACTTAATTAATTTTTTTAACATTATTAGATTAGTTATCTAGTTAGCGTTTTGCCAAAGTGTTATAGAATACTCCTTTTTTTTTTTCCTTGAATTTTTTAGTTATACTTATTTATCATTTAAATTTTGAAGACAACACGAATGTTCTTTCTTTTTATCAGAAGACAAGAAGAATTAAAACTAAAGGATAGGATTTGTTCACGTTGCGCCGATGCAGTAATAATGATACATCCACCTAACACGTAACATTGCAAATCACGATTATTCAGGCGAACGATGACTTGAGAACGACAAGAACTTGATTGTTCAATATGATCATTTAGCCAGGTTTTACTTTCTTCTAATTTTAAAATTATTTGTCTTTTATTAAATTAGATTGGGAAACACTTCCCGACTAATAGAAAGAGGGCAAAGATATATTCATCACCCCGATCTTATATGGCACATATAATATTCTAATTTTTTTACAGTGTATTTATTATTATCTTCTTTTTTTTTACCAGCAGTGTATTTATTATTATCTAACACCATGATCTTATTGTCTTGGTATATCTAGTATCTAGATGTTTGGTTTTTTATTTATATCCAGCACCCGGTATCTTATATATTACAATGGTGTATATACTAAAAATAAGGTTAAAGTGATGAATGCAATATATAAAATATCAAAATAATAAATGCACAAAAAAGACCACGTGTTGGATCCACATTTGTTCATAAAAGAAGCGTACGCATTTTTCACGTGAACCAAGTCATGTGGTAAGTGGAGTCAACGATAAGATGTAGCAGCTTAAAAGCTATCGATCTTTACGCTGATGATATGTGGACCAGACACCAGAGACCGCATTATTGACTTTCTCGAGCGAAGAAGGGACAGCCTTATCACTCCCTCCATTAGATTTGCTTTAATTTAAAAAAAAAAAAAGGTAAAAACGTCACATAAAAAAATTAAATATAAAACAATCTCTTAAAATTATTAAATTAATATGAAATCCCAAAAAACTTACTACAAAAGATTCTATTTGTTTAATTATCAAATTGCTCTTATATTTTTTTAAAGTAAATATTGACAACTGGAAGTATAGTCGTTAACAACTTCAAGTATAATGATTAACAACTATCGCAGTAGGTATTAGTAATACATGCATTATATTTTTGTGATGCGTTGAAAAAATATATTATTAGTACTTGTCGTGATAATTGTTAATTATTACACCTTAAATTGTCAATGACTACTCTTTCAATTGTCAATGCATATTTTAAAAAATTAAAAGCAATTTGATAATTAAATAAATAAAATCTCTCACAATGAGATCCCTTGGGATTTCAAAATAATTTAATAATTTTAAAAAAACTTTTTGTATTTAATTCTCTTGAGTGGGACGTCATTGCCATTTTGACAATTTTGCATAAAGTTTATAATTTTTTAAATTATTCCAATTTGGCCAATGCAATATTAGCAAGAGAAAGAAGACCCTTGATCTCTCGCCTAACAGCAGAAGGATCACTGGTAGGGGTGAGTAGATTGGAAACAAACTAAACTGAACTCAATTTGATTTTTTCAGTTCGATTAATTCAATTCTATTTATACAAATTTCAGTTTTCAGTTTTTGGTGCGGTTAGCATTAAAAGAATTCATTTTAACCGAACAACCGAAATTAAAAAAGAAAACGTACGCCTCAAGTTATATGTTTCCTTGTCTCTTCCCAAATCCAAAGTTCAAGCCCAATATATTAAAATTATTTTTTTTTAAAAATGCTACGGTGCTACCATAACCAAGATCCAAAATAGTCGAGTTCTCTGTTCCCCAAAATCTCTTTGTCGGCACTGCATAAATCTCCAGCCAAGTCTCTACCATCTCCATTCTTGCATGCATTGTAGAACCAGTGCATATTGCCTGATAGTGAAAGCTCATAAAGCTTAAACCTAGGCTCAAGAGAATTGAAAACTATTATTGAACATGAAAGATAGTCCATACACAAAAGAGGGATCAAAGAGTGATCCAATATTTATACAGAGTGAACAGCGAATGTGGGCTTAAGCCCAATAACCCAAACTGCCTATCTACACTTATTGTTACACTCCCCCTCAAATTAGGGGCTAAACACATCCAAAGCACCTAACTTGCTAAGAAATTTATTTCACGACCTACAGCTTTAGTCAGGCAATCAACCTCTTGATTCGAAGAACTCGTGTGCTACAAATTAATGAGTTTATCCTGTAACCTTTCTCTTACAAAATGACAATCGATTTCAATATGCTTCATTCTCTCATAGAAGCCAAGGTTGTTTGCTATATGTATAGCAGCCTTACTATTGCAATGAACTTTTACTGGACGTGAATGAGCAATGTTTAACTCTTTAAGTAGCCCTACCAACCACACTACCTCAGAAACAGTAGAAGCAAGGGCCTTAGATTCAGCTTTTGCAGAAGACCTCGAAACTGTGTGTTGCTTCTTGGTCTTCCATAGGAGAAGAGAACCTCTAGGTTTCAACAAGTACCCTGTTACAGATCTCCTAGTGGTCCCACACGCAGCCCAATCAGAATCACAGAAACAATCAAGTGAAAATCCCTGCTAAACTGATTAAAACTCTATGACCTAGACTTTGTTTCAGGTATCTGATCACATTTAATGTAGCTGCCATATGAGCTTTCATTAGCTGTTGCATAAACTGACTAAGTACCTGAACAGAAAAACAAATATCAGGCCTAGTTATTGTCAAATAAATCAGCCTGCCAACCAACCTCCTATACCTTTCAGGATTCTTGAGCAGATCAAATTTCTTATGCTTACCCTTCTCAAATGCTAGTAACTTTAAATCACGAGCCATAGGCATGCCAATAGGTTTACATCCACTCATTCTAGAGTCAGCAAGTAAAATCCAACACATATTTTCTTTGTGATAACACAATTCCTTTAGAAGACCTAGCAATCTCTAACCCAAGAAAGTACTCCATATTACCCAAATCTTTAATTTTAAAATTGTGATGCAGAAATTCTTTGACCTCTTTTATCCTTTTCTCAGAACTTCCAGTGATTAAAAGGTCATCAACATAAACAAGAATCATAACTATACCATCACTAAAATTTCTTTAAAAAATGAGTAATCATGCTTACTTTGTGTGAAACCTCCTTGTTTCAAGGCCATAGACAATTTGTTGGTCCATTGTCTAGGAGCCTATTTTAGTCCATAAAGAGACTTTTTAAGCCTACAAACCATGTTTCCTCCTTTTCTTTCAAATCCTTGAGGAATAGACATATATACTTCTTCATCAAGGTCTCCCTGCAAGAAAGCATTGTGCACATCTATATGGTACAAGTTCCAATTGTTTACAGCAGCCATTTTCAAAACGACCCTTATAGTTACCATTTTTATTACAAGAGAGAAAGTTTCATGATAATCTATGCCCTCTCTTTGATTATATCCTTTTGCAACTAGCCTTGCTTTATATGTATCTATATTACCATCAGACTTATATTTTATTTTATAGATCCATTTATAGCCAATGGCTTTCTTACCTTTTGGAAGGGGAACAACTTCCTAGGTTTTATTGTTTTCCAAAGCCTCAATTTCTAGTTCACAGCTTGGACCCATTCTTTGTGTTTTGCTGCCTCTTCATAAGAAACAGGTTTAGAGACAACATCAATGGTACACAAGAAACACATATGAGAGGAAGATATATTACTATATGTCATATAGTTCTTAATGGGATACAAAAGTTTGCTTTGATTGCTAGCAATGGTAATATTACAGATGTAATCCTTAGACAAAACAAGGGGTTTTCAAGGGGAAAAAAAGGACCGGACCAGCCAGTTTAACCAGAACTGATGAACCGGTGGTTGGTTTGGTCTGGTTTGATAAAAAAAACCACTAAGGGATTGAATCATTTTTAGACCGGTTCAACCAGTCAAAATCGGGCAACCCGCTAGTTGGATGGGTTGCTTGGTTTACAATATTTTATTTTTTTTAACCTTCAATCCCCCGAAACGATGTCATTTAGCATTGAAAAATAAAAAATAAAAAATCAGATAGCTAGATCAAAATCGAAGGCAAGGCTCCCTACTCAACCCCGAGCTTCAGTTTTGGCTTTTCACCATATTTCTTCCTTACCCCAAGTCAAAAATCCCTAGCTGAATCCACCCTCATTGTGCCGAAGTTTTCTTCGCCATCAGAGGTTCAGGGTCTTCACATCACGTTGTCCAGGTTGAAGCAGGAGGTCGTTGTGGTTTTATTAGATTTGCACATCGTAGTCGCAAGTGGTCACATCCTGTCATTGTTTCTTCTTCACGGCAGCAAAATCAGAGTCGCAATCGCAAGTGGTGGCTTCTATCAATTCTGTGCTCTTTCCTCTTGTTGTCTTGTTAGTTATTTTCATTCAGTTAGACTTAGATAGTTGAATGTGATCTTCTTTTTCCTTCATTGGTCGTGCTTTGTGCAATTGTTCTAGTTTTGAGACTGACTGGTTGAGGCTGAGATATGTTCAAATAATCAAAGTTTGTTGATCTTTGTTGTTTTCTTTTCCTCTAATATCATAGTTTTTTTTTCTGTGTTTCACACATCTGAGGCTGGACTGAAAAACTGACTTTGATTTTTGTAAATAATGAATCTGAACACTGAAATAGGTAGCTGAATTTGTCAACAATGTGCTCTTGTTCCAGTCATATAAGACTACTACATGAAATCTGAATCTGAATTTGATTTTTGAGCTTGAAGAATAGTCAAATAGGTTGTGATCTTGCAATCGTTTTATTCTAATAATAGGAATAAATTTAATAAATGTCATGAATCCAATCTAGTGCAGAGACAAAGGGGAATCACTACCTTGTAGTCAAATACCTTGTCAATAATAGTTAAATAAACTAAAAGGCAGATTTTTCGATTTGATTCATGATATTTATCTAAAGAAATCTCATGCCCACAATAGTCAAATAGCCATTTATATATCTTGAATTTTATTTTTAATCCGTGATGTTATCTTATCCGAGCTAACCCCACAGCAATAACACCCCCAATTGTGATATTTGATCTTTGATCTTTGATATTTTTTTATTTGTTATTTAGTAACAGTGATGGATATTTCAAGTAATCCGAGTTCAAGAAATGACAATGTGACTCCTAATATAGGATCTTCCACTCCTAATATTGAAACTTCCACTCCCACACCCACCTCTTCATTACGTACCAAAACGGATCCTGCATGGGCACATGTTGCATACGAAAAAGAGGGGACACA